CTGATGGAGAACTGCAGGTCCCACTCTGCTGATTGGCAGCAGCAGACGGCGTGTTCAATATCTAGTTTGCTATTGCAAAGTGAAATAGCCAATAGGAATCTAGCTATGCATTCCTATGGTGGTTTTTATTTTTTCCCCGACTTACGGCGGCAGGCGGTCCCCAATGTCAGAAAAAAAAAACACGATAGGAAGGAAAGGTTTACTCTGCTCGATCGAGCAGAGTATACCTTTCCGGGAGAAAGTGTTTCTCTCCCGGGCGACTCTATCTAATAGCGGGAGACTCCTGGCAAATCGTCATGCGACCCACAGGTTGAGAACTGCTGACCTAAGGGGTAGGATGGAGGCAGCTGACATGTTTATTGCCTAAAGGCACCGGATAAAGTGTTAACAGGCACAACAAACATTCATTCCACCCACCTTACTTTTCTTCACTCAGTTTTGTACTATGCTGTAGTATTTTATTGGCATTCTAATCAATTTTGACATTTTAGTGCAGTTGACTAAAAATGTAGACATTATTATTTTAAAGAAAGGGTGTGTGGCCATTTGTTTTGTAACAAACATGATGTCTATATACTGGCATCGGCACTGCTGTCTAAGTGGATCCACTGAGAGGTATTATTGGAGTGTGCACTTCATCTTCTGCTTCAGCTACTAATAATATATTCACACATGTTTCTCATCTAAATCCTATCAATCCCTACTGCTCATTTAAAGAATTTCAGATTCAGCAATAAAAAGTATTATGCATTGCCAAGACCATGCTATAAACATGCGCAAATATATTGTAGCAAAAATTACCTGCAAAGATTTATCCTGCAAGTACATCAGCACCTTCAGCAACCCGGACAACAAGAACAAATAGTTGTCAGCTTACAAGTCATAGCTTGTCTATCAAGGGAGTTATGTGAATTCTAGCATCTCTAGCTTTTCCTACTAGTGCTGCAGATCATATACTTGTTATATACACAGCTCCATCCAGTGGCTTCAGCAAAGTTTTCACCTGTAGGGAGCAAAGGGATGCATGGCTTCCTGCATTTTTGTATGGCTCAGGGCTGCCTGAAGTGGCTTGCAGGGGAGTCACACAGGCATGCTGAAAGTTTGAAAGTATTTTTTTTTTACAAAAGAAGATTGCTGTTTCTTTAAGACTGCCGTCTTGGTATGATGCTAAGGGGACAGTTTTGATCAACTATTGCTCCCTGGAGTTCTTCTTTCAGTATATTTGTGCATGAACACAGGAATATAAAATTGATTAATGGTTCAGTAATATAAGAACAAATATTAACATTCTAAATATGTGAGAAGAAATAGTAACTGATTATGTGCAGAGTCCTGGTTAACCATCAGGTCAGGCTGGTTTTAATGACAAAGTACATTATAATGTCCATAAAAGCCCACTTTACATGACAACAGTTACAATTGATTGTTTTGTAATAATAATCCCTTACAAATGAGATCATGAATTGATTTCTATACTTACTGCATAGTGGAGCAGAGCTCTCTTGTATTATACCAAAAGCTGTACCGTACTAGCAAATGTGGAAACATTAATAATGTGAAACTAGTACAAATATTAGAAATCCCAATAAGTATTAACTTGTGACAATTCAGCAGTGTTGATGGTCAGAGACAAAAGATCAAAGTTGTGTGTTAGGAGTAAACTTTGCATACACTACGCTATGACATAACCCAGACTAAGCAGACATAGTATATATGCGAGGCATCCATTAGAAGCACTGCTGCATTTTGATTTGTACAGCCAGTCAATCTAGTAAGTCTGGTAACTCATAAGTCTCATAAATGGCTAATCATAATTTATACTGCTATGAAATTATTAACCTAAAGTTTCATGGTGCACTATAGGTAAATATGTATTTTTTTAGTTTTGAATGGAGTAGGCTTAATCCTCCTTTGGGTCTTAACATGGGATCTAGATTCACACCAGCTCAGTTGAGAGAACTTCCTGGAGTGCACTATAGGGATCTATAAGAAAGTGACTGAGAACATAATGCTGATGCCAAGAAATTCAGCTCAAGGAAAAGCCTGTCTGTCATAGTAGTTGGGGGGAGAGCTTCCTACTGTGGTCACAACCTAGTGTGGTATCATAAAACTTCAGGGAAAGTTATATACTTTCAGGCAAAAATGTTGAAAGTGTCAAATGTCTGCTTGTACAGGCGCGCCTATTAAAATGCATTGCAAGAAACTACCTGTTCATAGTGATTGCAAGAAACTACCTCATGTAGCTATTCATGGGTTTGGTTTGTCTTTCTCTTTTTATTTCTTTAATAATTAATGATTAATTTCACAATAATAATTACAAATCGGAATCACTGAAATTATAATCTGCTTTGTATAATGCACTGCATGCTTCATTTGATCTTTTTTCAATTTAGAAAGTCAGAATTGGGCTGTGTTTTAAAACCAAATAAATGTTCAATGTACGATATCTTTGTGCTACACTCAAATGCTGACATAAAGCTATGTTAACACTCTTGCTGTGATGGATAACAGGAACACAGCATGAATACTAACCTTTTCTGCAGAACACATTCCCTGGAATTCAAAGTAAAAAGTCATAGGCACTCATATGAATTCCAGCTTCTCTCAGAAACGGGTACATAAATCTATCACGATGGACGCAAGGCGGGGGACAGCCCTGAGGCTGGAGTGTCTATACTAGGCACTCCATCCTCAGTGCAGCTCAGTAACAGTGAGCCATATACAATCACAGACACATCGTTACTGAGCTCCCTACCCAGCCACTTCAGCTGTCATACTGACAGGCACAGCAGCCGAGGAGGTTACCTGTGGTGGGTACAGCCTGATGGGCAACTTTAAGAACCACACAGCCAACAACCTCATAGCAACCAATTAAATGGCTGAATGGCAGTGGGTAGAGTCTGATGGGGAAGCTTTGAGACTGGTTCCCCATCAGGTCCCCCTCCCTTGTGGATTATAGTGGGGAGCAATGGGTGAATTCCATAGCTGCTAGCTAAGGCTAGAGAATCACAAGTTAAAAGGACCTGATGGAAAACTAGTCTCTAAGCTTCCCCATCGGACTCTGCCCATTGCCGTTCAGCCATATACATGGTTGCTATGAGGCTGTTGGCTGTGTGGTTCTTAAAGTGGCAGTAATACCAACTACGTGAATCTGTTGCATGTGTTGGAACTGCAACTGAAACTGTTGCACGGCTTTCATAAATTAGGCACATGTTGTTTTAAAGGGACCATAACGCTAAACAAAAATCGGAAATTATTTACTGAACTTCCCATCACTCTTTTGGACTCTCACCTGTGCCATTCATGTTATCAAAAGCTTAGACATTTTTATGATGTGATCTCCACTGAAAGGGAGCATAAGCTATTCTGAACTCATACAGCCAAAAGCTTACACCTTTGGTCACATGGCTGGCATAGGACAGCCACGCAGCAGAGTTTCATAAAGGAAATATAAGTGTTTCAGCCCTGCTATGACTCACACCTCTTATCCATCCCAGTAAGATTATTAAATAGCTTTAAAGTTAAACTCCAATTACTGCCAGAAAAAATATATCAACTATATACAGTGCAATAATTTTAGAAAATGGCCGTAAAGGAGGTGGGTCTGCTTTCACTGTAATCAGCTTATCAGTCTCTGTGTGGTAAGAAACAAAAGCTGCAGCCTCAGCCCTTGGATGCAAAAGGGAGACAATTTAATGGTTGGTCAGTTTTAGAAAGTCAAAGCAATTATAGATTGAAATGCAGCCTGGTTACAAAATAATTAGATTTACTGCAAGTATACGAGTCACTGAAGACAGCCAGTTTGTGAGTTTAACCTGGTAGGATTCATAGAACATATTTTATTAATTTACAGCAGCGTTAGGTGCAACTAATTATGTCTTCTGTACCTTAAAAAAGACCAGGCTTGATTAAGCCTAAACAAGAACTGCTTGCTCCTCCGTGTATGAGTGATTACACTGTACAATTGAGGAGGTGGACTTTCTTATGTTCAATGACTACTTTGGACTTGATGGACATGTACCTTTTTTAACCTACTAGTAGGTATTGATTGCATATTATAAGGAATATTAATTGTGCTGCTACCATATTTTGTTATGGCATTCCTTTGTGTTCTGATTGTTCTAGAACTGAAAAATAGCTATAACCTGAGATTGTCTTGTCAAATTTTCCATTACTGCCAATTTTCTTTTGTGAATCTGATAGATTAGAGTAATCAACAGTTGTATATAATAAGAAAGCTAGACAAGAACAAAAAACGACCTTCTAGTGTACAGGAAAGGCATGGCCTGCAAAATCCATGTTTTAGATTCAGCAAACCTACATTCAATATTAAATGGTATGGGCATTTCAGTAATTAGAACCTTAAACTTAAAACCAAAAGCTATCAATATTGATGTACTGCTTATGGAATATTCTCCACATATATAATATAAGGCAAAACTGTGGGATATTTAAATGTGCAAAACTGCTGCACAGAGAAAAACAAAGACTTATTGATGAAGTATGTAAAATGTGAGGGAACATGAAGTGCACTTATAGAATACAGAAAGCCTGTAGAAGAGAGCACTGGAGGAAGCTTTTAGTAGCCTCATTTCATTTTCAGCTAAGCTACTGTATTTGCTAATGCATCCCCAAGCTATACATCTATTACAGTACTTCTACATACATACATACTGGCCTTTAGGCAGACAGCCCAGTGTTACCTATACTCTCATGTCAGAAGGACAATTGTCTTTTTCAAGCTATATGAATATAAATAGAGATAGGCTGACACCTAAGAATTGTTACCCTGGGGTACACAGAGGCCCCTATAGGTTTTGAATGTTAGAAACTGAGCTAACAGTGAATATATGCAAACATTTATATGCTGGTGGTTTAAAAGCTTCTAATCCATCTATAAGTGCTTAATGTATAGACACATAACAATAAATAAAATGTGTTATTTTGTGTAAGACAGCTGCCCTACACCACATCTTCTTCACTTTTTTTTTTTTTTAACCACGTGCATGATGGTCCTGTCAGGGAGTAATCCCCAGGCCCAGAATGCTTTTGACAGACAGAAAAACCAGTAAGCCCTTCTTGGCAACATGAACAAGTGATCATGGATGACAGGCTTAAGTCACAAACATTAGAAGGATATGTACAGAAAGGTCTAAATATACATACAGGTATTTACATAAGGTGCAGAATGCTCCATTGTACAGGAAGTTTAAACAAAAGGGGCGTCATGCAGGATTCATGTGATGAAATGACGCCTTTAAAACCACAAAACTAATACTGGCTCTTTAAGTAGTTTAGTGAGTGGCACACAAAAAACCTTGCTCATCTCTACCAATGGCAGTCCAAGGACCATTGCAGGCTAAAGTTAAACTCAGTAGGCACCCAATGAAACTGCAACAATGTATCTTTGGATTCCCTTCAATGCTCGGAAGCAGTACCAGTAAGCTTGGACACAGCAGGTCCCCTTCATTTAACCTAGATGTAGGGATTATCCCCTCTCCTTGCAAAGTAAGCAACATGAGCTCCCCATAAACACAACAATGGGGTATTTGTATCTGGATATCTTCCTATTTGCCACGTGTGTTATTCTGTGATTTCAGGATGGGGATGCAGGCCACTTTCTCCTCTACGATATATCTCCCAAAAGCCTTGCTCGAGCTGTTCAAGGTGTGAACTAAGTGGGAGCTGCAGAGTCAGGTGCCTGAGCAATGATTCCAGCCATAGCTGAAGCTGTGAGAAGTTGGGCCTGCAAGAGAGTAAAATGGGAAAAGAGATAGTTAGAATATAATATAGAAAGCACACCACTAGTACTGCTAGCTACAAAACCCCAAAATATATACAGCAGTAAGCTATTTTGTAATTTGATGATTGTTTTGAAGGAAACCTGTGCTAAAAGAAATATAGGAACTGCTGCTGCTAATCCGCTTTTGAAAGTACCAGTTACTTTGGCTTCACTGTCCTGGAAGAAGTATGCAGCAAGTGAACTCAGAACACCTGATTTGTGTACTGTTCTTGGTCAGTGACAAAGAAAGTATTGAAGTCACTAAATCATCATGACAAAACAACTAGCATTTTCAGCAGAAGAGGCTACCAGTAGCTGCCTCCTTATTTTTCTTAGCATAGGTTGCTTTTACCAGCATTGGGCCTAACATAAAAAAAATTGTTTTTGTTTGTAAGAACAGTGTAGTTTTTACAAATAAAGAGCCCAACACACCAGGATACTGTACATATATTCACCTATGCTAAAATATTTCACAGGCGTAAACACTCTGGTACCAACTTACATATTAGGTGTCCAAATATTTCCTCCCCCTTTAGATTCAGAAATCCTCACACTGCAATTAGTTTATGTGAAAACTAGATTTTGCCCCACATCTCTCTTAAGCACACTGAAAATTAGATTTTTGTATTCAATGTAGAATCCTTTTCTCAGACGTTTAGTGAAGGACACAAGATTCAGAAACAATTGGGTTATGCTGCCACCTACAGGAGGATTCAGGCACTGGCATAAACCAGCATGTCTCAGTTTTGTAACAAGTAGTGTTACCAAAAAAACAATGAACGTTCATGAAAGGATTTTATGGTGAGCACAGAAATCCAATTTTCTTTGTCGCTCATTGAGGGACACCGTAATCAGTGACAAATGAAACATCCAAAAGAAAACCCAACTGGGGTGGGCAACACAGCAAACAAAACACCAAAAGGGATGACAAAGTGGGATTCAGTGTTTCTGATCGAAGCAGTGGCTGCGGGGTAGGCACGCACAGCACGTAACACATCCAAACAATATGCACAAATGGACCTGCGCTATGGTGATAGTGATACATCCAGCTGCTGTGTTCAATTTGTATGGAATACACACAAATTAGCTCAATGAGATCCAAATTACACTGCGCTCAAGTAAATGATCTATATAAAATGTCGTGGCTGAGGTGAAAGGATGGAACACCTTGAGAAGGAAGAAGGCTCTAGACCTTAATACTACCTTATCCCTGTGTAAGACTAGAAAAATGTCTCAACAAGACAAGCAATAAGTTTCCAAGTGCTGAAATCTGACCCTTGATTGTAGTCAGGGCCAACTGTTGATCCAAGTCTGACTGTGAACATTCAGGATTCATCCACCAAAGTATTTTCTGCGATGGAAATTGCTTTCCTCACACCAAGCAAACTATGCCTTCCATGTGCGATGGTAGATCTTCCTGACTATTAAAATCGTGGATATTACTGAGTTGGAGAAGATCCTGTCCTTTAAGACCTGGGTAAGCCAATGCTGTTAAAGCCAAAGACCGTAAAGCAGGTTCTCAGGAAAAAACATCCGGTCAATCTGAAGAGCCCGTTGAGGATCTTCAAGGGGTCTGATCAGTTTGAAGTACCACATCCGCCTGGGCCAGCTTGGAAGGAGGGGTTTCAGGGGAGGAAAGACATAGACCAGATTGTACTGATCCCATGGAATCACCAGATCATACACTGCTTCACCTTGAGAATCTCTGCACATGGAGACAAACCTACCTAATTTGAATGTGAAAATACAGTGGCATTGTCTGACTGGATCCTTATTGAAAGACCTTCCCTTCAAAATGTCCAGCATTTAAGGGACAACCAAATCACTCCAGGCCCCAATTCCCCTACACCGACAAGGTATCTAGGAATCCTACCCATCCTGTCAGACTGGCATCCCTTGTAATAATCTTGATATTGGTAAAAAGAATTTCCCCAACTCCAGGGATGAATTCCTGAACCACTAGGCCAGAGACAACCTGGTACTTGATGTCCTTGGATTGTACATTGACAGGAGGGAGAATCTGCAGGAGCCAGAGCATTGCATCTGCGATTTACTAATCACAGTTGCAATGCTTTATTGCCTCCAATGCAAAAAAATAATAAATGCAAATTATTTTTTTTACGAAGAACTGCATTTATAATTTTATCTTTAAAAAGGTGGGCTTTACTTTTAAAATACAGTTTCTTTTACCTTCTCAAATAAATGAATATGTATAATGCATATATAAAACTGTTTGTGTTTTGCACTTATGGGCAGAGGAATATATTTTGTCGATATACTGTATATTATATATAATATTACTATGTAATGTTAGTTTTTTTTAGTATATAGTAATGTTAGTATATATTTTTATTGCACATCACCATGTCTGTGCATATAGGGGGTTGAATTCTACAATCCTGGTCTGTTGAGGAAGTAAAGTAGAAGTATGGATAGAAACCATAAAAGTCCATTCTTTCATGGACTGGAGACATGATGACGTTGCAGTCCCCTCCTGTTTGTGTGTATATATGCATAAAAGGAAGTTTCAATTTATCCATGCGCCTCCAAGAAGTCCATTGTAGAGATGAAAAGCTTTAAAGAATGGCAGGGAGCTGGTAGCACGGGGCCCATATTTTAGCACACATCTTTATGGACGGACTCTACAGCAGTGCCTAATTGAGTCAGATGTAACCAATTTATCTTGTGTTGTGCATACATGGACTTATAATGGTGATTGTATACCGTTTAGGAGATCTTTTTTAATATCATCTGTCTCTGTGAGCTATCAATTGGATTCACAGTCACTTAATTGTGAAGCAATATATCTAAACTACTGTTTTTTTCTACATTGACATTGGTATGCTTAACATAGAGGATTCTCACATCTTATTTGCCTGCAACACCATGAAAGTGTAGAGACACAATAATTATAAAGGATCAGTGGCAGGCATTAAGGAACCTCCAAGGAGGTCCTCCCAAGAACAGACAACTGTGGAATTGCAACTCATTTGCCATCTGATCTGTAAATTACACCTGGATTCATCTACTAACATACCCTAAATGTGGTGTGTACTAACTATATTTGTACAACTATTAACTGCAGGGACGGTTTCATTTTTTGACAATCTATTTTTGATATTTTTTGCACTTGTCAGTAGGGAAGTCATTCAGCACAGCAGCAGTACAGGACCTGAAAGACCGCTGAAAAAGCACTGTAGTAGCTGCGGCTACTGCAGTGTTTTACAGAATCCTCCAGGCCCTACCAGAGATAAATTATGTGTACCTACAGTACATTGTGCCAAACGTGGCCAAACTAAGTATACATAAATCTTTATAGCAGGAGTTCAGCTTTAAATATTGAGGCATCCTTTACAGGAACTGTCCGTTCTCTGTTAAGGCTCCCGATCAGTTTGGGAACGGCAACTGCTTGATTAACGTATGAGGGTGGATAGAAGAGTGATTCACATACTTTTTTTTTATATAAAACTGGCTCATCTACCTTGGTAAAAGGAAAGATCCTCCAGTTTTGATTATACTTGACCTATATTGTCAATCAATCAGTGTTAAATAGTAACAGGAAAGGGTGCATTCATTTTATGTGTGAGGATGTCAGTTACAAAACTGCATAATAGGTGTTCTGTAAATTCAAAGAAATCAGGAAAAATGAATTGGCCTTTTTCATTTGTAACAGTCACTATAAAACAAAAGGTTGCCTATAAATCAGACATAATTGAGTATTTTCCATGCTTAGAATAAATACAGGCAAACAAACACAAACAATAACACTGAAAAGAGCCACCAGTGCAGGCTCATACTGCAGACTGCATCAGTGCAGGTATGCTTTTCCCAGGTATGTGCCCTCACCATCTCCTAGCAGATACTGTACATAGTTCTGAGGTATGGCAATGTGCAGCAATCATAGCAAGGCATTAGCAAGCCTAACTCCTTGACTACACCTGATTTAGTAAATTGCCTGGTCCAATGTCTGAGCCTCAGCTATCTCCAGTGGTGTAAACAAAAAGGGTGTAATTAGGGGGTCTGCCAGTGAGCCAATTCCAACCCTCTCTGGAAGGGACAAGAGTTATGGCCTGGACCTACTTACGTTGTATTCATACCTATGTGTTGCAGTAATGCGTACATTACCGCAGTGCGCAATGCATGCGTTAGTGTGTTGCAGTGTAATTAATTTCCAACATACTAAAAATACCTTTGCAACACAACACACAGTAACATATTACAATGCATTGTGGATATTTCCAACATACTAAAAATACCTTTGAAACACAACACACAGTAACATATTACAATGCATTGTGGAGCGGTGCAATAGAAAAAATAATTCATTTCTGACTTTCAGTTCATTGTAGTGCACTGCAATGCCCGTTAACATAAAGCATGTGTGTTAATGCACATCAACAGACCAGACTGATGTGAATGGGGCCTAAGATTTTTGTCCCTGGTATAAACCTTTGGGCAGTTTGAAACAGGATACAATAATATACAATAATACATATCTATGAACACGGATGCTGAGGAAGACAATATCTGAAGTATTTCTGCTTCTAAACTGATTATTTCCTGAAGTTTCCAAGCTGTACCTTCAACACACAAACATGGATACAGTGTTGATTCTCATGCCAATGTAAAACCTTAATAACTAATGCTTTCGTTATCCAATTAAGTGTTATATCAACATTAGAAAGAACACATCCTGTAGCTTAGTTCTTATGCTGAATGTCAGCTTTAGACTAAACTAATGAATAAGTTACCTTTTCTCAGGGTCCAAATCACAGCATAATACTGCACTAGGAAAGAAGCCTGGTGGGCAGTCTGGGGGGCAAAAACGGTCCAGGAAGGCACGAACATTCAGCCCAAAATCCATGGTACGTGGGAGATAGTCAGGGTCAGCCCTAACACGGCCAATTATCTAATAGGAAAAAAGACAAAATATGAGACTTGGTCATGGCTAGTAAAATCTTAAAATATTTATGGAATTGTTATAATTTATTTGTAGAGAAAAGAAAAAGGGACAGAAGTTGGCAATGTAAGTAACAGTATTATTACCTCACACAGCACAATGCCAAAGGAGAAAACATCCACCGACTCATCATATTTTCTCCCTGTAAGAAGAGAAAGCACTTCAGTCACCCATAGAAAGCTAACATAGGGTACTGATGATGATATAGGTAAATGCCATGAATAAGGACACCAGCCTCATATTATCACCTTCTGTTCAGTTGCTTTTAAGTTCTAGAATCAAATATTTCTCGACAGTATTTCTTAGTGCCCATGGGCCTATTGATCAAACATAAAATCCTAAAGCATACATATAACCAGAATTTTCATTTTAGATTTGGATGAAGTAATGAAGAGTTAGACAGATATACCGTGTTTCCCCGAAAATAAGACAGTGTCTTATATTTTTTTTTCTACGAAAAAAGACACTAGGTTTTATTTTCAGGGGATGTCTTACCTGGCTGCAGCTTAGTGTAATATTACAGAAATCCCTGAAGATAGTGCTAGGTCTTATTTTCGGGGTAGGTCTTACTTTCGGGGAAACACGGTAGATGGTAAATCTTTTCTGGAATTCCTCTCACTTTGCACGGGTTTGCTCCAATAACTTGTTGCATCTCCCAGGAAGGAAGGGAAACCTTCACAGGACACACATCAAAAAATAAACTAAAAGGGGTTTTAATAATTCTACACTATTAAAAACTAAAACTAAAATAATACATTGCTATTCACACACTTTAATGGCAATGCTTTTACCAAGGGTTGTTTTTTTTAATTTTGTGCTTTGCCAAATAGTGTCAATGTATAAAGCATAGAAGAATAAAAGTCAATTTTTCGGTACCTTTATTGGCACCCGAAAAACCTGCGGTGCTTTATATCTATACTGTATTCAGGCCTTCCCACACTGAATTTGATGTTAATTTATAACTTATGAAATCTGACTCCAAGGGGCTCATTTAAAAAGCAGCGATAAGGCTGCATTGCAGTAATGCTCAGTGATGTGGTTTGAAAATTTATTCTGGGATCTAAAAATGAATAGCAGTTGTAAATAAAAGAAAAAAAAACGATCATGTAACCTGTCAAAGTCACATGACCAAGTCTCCTCAAATCGCAGAGATTTCTCTGCTTCATGACAATTCTCTGCTTAAGTACTGCCTTTCCAAATTTTTTAGTTGCTAAATGGCTACATGTTGTAAAACATAAATCCCAGTAACATCTATGGGCTGAAAGGTTCTTTCAAATAGAACCATTTGATAATATTTCTGCCATTGACATTTCTGCACCTGACTTCCCCAAGAACAGTAAAATTCCAAAACCAGGAGGGCTGAGCTGAAACTACACTAAGCAGATCTTACTACCAGGGTCCCAGAGTGAAAAAAAGTAGCTAGTGGGTGATCAAACAGCAGTTATCAGTCCTGGATGTCTGGCCATTTACATTCATTTTTATTGAGGTTGTGCATCACAAGCAAAAGTACAATCGTATGCAATACAAAGATACAGAAGGCAAGGTAATGTGGTAATAAAGGCATACTGTCACTGAAAAAGTCAATGTGCATTGCAGACCATTTTTCAAATGTTATATCATAATAATAAACAATACAGGGAGCAACCGATGAAGGCCAGGTATAGAGAGAGAGAGAAAGTAAAACACGGTAGAAAAATAATAGGAAGCAGGGAAAAAAGAAGAGAGAAATCACCACCATAGACACTCCAAACATAGCAAAAATACAAAACGTCATCGTCATGTACCTCCACAACGCCCCCACCACAGAACAAATGTTCCCCCTATGACCATTCACATGGACAAAGTGCATAAAATTAGCAGGTGACCCCACATCAGGGCAACACATATCCACCCAATTAACCCTCCAACTTCTTCTCAAGATACTATGGCATGTATTGGAACACTTTCATAATTTCTTGTAGTTGAGGTTTAATTCTGAGAGCAAATATTTGGGCCAGGTATCAAATAAATGAGCTGCCTGATCCTGAGGATGTGAGGAAGTTTGAATTTTATCTTAGAGCATTAACTTTTACAAAAGGGGTTGCAGGCCATTCACCCCTGGCCCTTGTGGTGAGAGCCAACGAAGGAGGATAGCCTTTTTAAAACCCAAAATACATAAATGTTCCTATTTGCTTAGTCTAGGCCTCCCAACTGATGAATCTCAAGGGACAGTGTAAAATATTCAAATGAAAGGATGGAGAGGCTTTGTGATTCCTGTGATACCCCTCCATGTAGGTCAATGCCTTACCCTAAAACTATGCAATTTTATAACATGACCAAAGCAAGCGAGTAAGGTCTGGCAGTGGGTGACTAAATTTCGGGCAACCAGTCCGCCAAGAGTCTGTGTGGTATTGGAAACGCCGAGTAGGAACAATGGAACTGTACTTCCCTCCATAGTTCCCCCACCATTGTCCATTGAACTGATGCTCATTCACTGCGTTCCGGTGCCGGCATACGAACTGTGGGTGGGGGTGCGTTTTAGGTACCATTCAAATGAATGGCAACGCAACACACCCTCCTCACCAGAATTGCTTGGTACAATTTATAGTACTTTCCAAGTGTGAATGGGCCCTCAAAAACACTGACATACATACACAGACACAATCTACACAGAATAGGACATATGTATAAATAAGAGATGAGAAATGAATATATGATTATATTCATAGTAACAACTAAGCTTTATATTTCTTCTATAAAAATGTGAATAATTTGTGAAATAATAATAAAAATATATTAAACAATTTCTTTTTTTTTGCAGCTCCAATTACATTCCAATGATACTGACCATTTATCATTTCTGGTGCCATCCAATAAGGATTCCCCACCACAGTGTACCGCTTTCTTCTGTCTTTCCGCAAGTCCCGAGCCTCCTCTGATACTAATCGAGCCAGCCCAAAATCTGCCACAACCAGACTGCCATCCTGAATGCCAAAGAGCAAATGATCAACTTTATATATCATCATTTGAATTTATTTTATTTGCTATCCATTTACATTTGTCATATTCTTACAGCAGCTTGATGTAGGCATAGCATGAAGAATCTAACTGAAGTTAATCGCTTGTCAAAAACATATAAGAGTCCCTTCAAGCCTGTGCAGACTGCAAGAATTCTTCCAATTTGAAACCAAGCAACATTAGGATAACATATATGATTTATAGGAGGGTCATGCAGATTATATTGCTGTCTCATTTAAGTCCTATCTCTTTTTTTATTGGAACTGTAAAAAATGTTAACTAGCTATCGGTTATTCAAGCTGAGCATGATGAGATAATACATAAGTAGTGGTAACGTTGAGTGAAAACTGCTTGTAAAAACCGTCAGTAGATCTCAGTATAGGGAGATAGGTATTCAGCTGCAAGGAGAAATACATTTCTGAAGATCCTACCAGAATTGCAGCTAACTCCTGACAACACTGCCGCTGCTGCTCTGAAATAGCTGGGGAGGGGGATAAATGGGAACATAACATGGGGAATGTGCATGTACTCTAGGAGGCATTAAGATGAAGACATCAAGTTCTGCTAGACATGGCCCAACAAGGACACATATGGCTGAACTTCAAGAAGCCACATATCTTTATATATCTATAGCTAGGTACACACGGAGCAAATTTCCATCCACAGGTAGCCCTATGTCCTCAACAGAAGTTGATCATTAGATTAACTTTAGCTGAAGTGACATGCTGAAAAATCATTGGCCGAACAGTCTGCAAGCACTGCTTGAATATTCTGACAGTGGCCGGCGCCACTGTCAGAATTCAATGTACACAGCAGATTTGTTAATTCACACTCTTAGTGTGGATCGAGGAATCTGTCATATTTTTTGATGGAGGAACCTGCCAGAAAAGAAAAAAAAAAGGACCATGTGTGCCCATCTTAAGGCAGAAGGGCTACCCCCGCACTGCAAGGAATATCTGCTTGTTTTAGTCTATGGACTAATATAAAAAAAGTTATACTCACCCAATCCTCCGGGGCGGCTTGCTCTTAGACCAGTCCTTTCCGCCTCGCTCCCCCTCTGCTGCAGCGATCTAAGGATCCTCCAGCCACCACATCCAATACTCTGTGTATTGGACGGGAAGATGCCGAGGGACATACATTACTGCAGAATAGGAGGAGAGAGGCTGGTGGGAGGGGTGTGATAGCCGACCATCTCTGAGGTTCGGGTGAGTATAACTTTTTTATTTTATTCCGTAGACGTAAATGAGCAGTTAACCCTTGCAGTGCGAGGTTAGCCCCACTGCAAGGGTTAATAAAAGTTTTTAAAGTCTTAAATGTTCTTTAACCAGTTGACATCCGCGGTGTTAAACCCCCTTCCCATTACGGGCGGAGGGCAAGAGGTTAAGCCTGACACTTTGGTAACTTAACAAAAAAATATCTACTGAAAAGTATTAGACCATTCTTAGCTATACATCTGCACATAACAGAGCCCAGTTTATTGCATGCATCTTTACACACTTTTCACTGTTATGTGCAATGTATGTTAATCCATAATGTATCTTTATTGTGTGCAAGGTTGCATTCAAGTTAAAAGCAAACTAACAGTTTTGGGTCAATTACATTTTATAAAGTTTATACTTTTTAAAGTTATATTTTATATAAATTTACTATATGTATACAATCATACCTAACAAACAGCCAGCACACCCATATATTATTATTATTATATAGGATTTATATAGCGCCAACAGTTTGCACAGCGCTTTACAATATAAGGAAGACATTACAATCACAATACAATTCAAGACAAGATGGTAAGGAGGGCCCTGCCCCTGAGGGCTTACAATCTAAAAGGGAGGGAGAAGTGATACATGAGGAGGTAGCTGTGTGGGGATGAATTGTTTGAGAACATGATGGTTGAGTGGTTAGGTTGAGGTGGGATAGGCTTCCCTGAAGAGATGAGTCTTAAGGGATCGCCTAAAGGCAGCCAAGGTGGGAGACAGACGGACAGGTTGGGGTAAAGAGTTCCAGAGGATCTAGAGACTCTATAGAAGTCCTGGAGGCAAGTATGGGAGGAGTTGACAAGGGAGCTGGAAAGCAGCAGGTCTTGGGATGAGCGGAGTGGACGGTTAGGGTGATATATTGATATATTCACGGAGTGCGCAATAAAAGTGTCCCTTAGCACCTCTCAACTATAGTCACAAGTGATATCAGTATCTGCCCAATTACAGCATTGTGTCAAACATCAATACAGTTTTGATTGTCCCTGGGTTTACATGCAACTTAAAATATGTGTTACCTGCAGGGGATATACAGATGTATCTTGCTGCACTCCTTACTGGATCATGATGGTAACCTGTGGAGTCCAGGTGGGTGCTCGCAGTGACCACGGACGGCACCGTGAAATATACAATAATTCCAAAAGATGTCACCAGCATACCATTAGTTAAGTGAAATTAACAAAAGTCCATTTAACGACAAAACAATGCCATCCAAATACAAAATGTAAATAGACTCACCATTCAAATACAAAAAGTATTTGGATGGCATTGGTTTATCATTAAATTGTTAATTTCACTTACCTGCAGGTGGACACACAGATGTGAATGGGCCCTTAATCTGTGAGCCCCTTGTCCCCAGCTATGTTCTGATTTGTGGCATTGTTAAAGTGTGTGTCTGGTGTACCACCTTCAATAAATCACTGAAAAAATATGTTGATGCTATATAAATAAAATATACCTTTTGAAGATAATAACAATAATAGCAATAGAGCTAGTGTATGAGCTTATCTTACCTCTCGCACAAGGCAGTTGTAAGAATTCAAGTCCCGATGGATTATATTCATAGAATGGAGGTAGGTCTGAAAAAGGAGACAAATGTACACAAGGGTATAACTACCAAGTACATAACAAGCATTCTGGGAAAGAAGTACCGTAATAAATCTTAAATAAATAGACTCACCATTCCAGCAGCTATGTCTCTGGCAAAGCTGACCCTTTTATTCCAGGGATACTGAGCGTCCTGCAGATACAAATTTAAAGATAAAGGTTAACAAGTTTTTGTTCACAGATAATCAATATTTATGTGAATGTACAGTGTGTCAATAGAATGTCAATGATAGAGCATACCAAATGATTCCAAATGAAATCTGACACAGTTTTTTCCCTCACTCTGTCCAACATTGGAAAGATATGTTATAGTCCCAATCTTTGTGAAGAATGAACACGTGCACCAATTTGTCAGGTTTTAATTTCTGGAACATGTGGAGATGAATTCAACTCATCAATAGCTCATGATTGGAGATGATCAGAAAAATTAAAATAGGGCACAATGACTTCGGTGGAGCTGCTCACAAACAGGGAACCCTGTTCCCCTTTCCTGGGAAACCCAAAGTCTGGAATCCATGTGTATAATAGTGACCAATGAGGGTGCCACATCAATGAATTGGGAGTCTAAAATTATTTTAATATTGGTGTATGTTCGACAATATAAAACAGCAAGCACGTTTCGGGGGCTCAAACCTCCCCTCTTTCTTCAGGGTTTAGATATTGTATATACATGGCCAGAATCGTGCTAGAATTGTGTCAGAATCACCTCATTTAATTGTTTGTAACTGAGGAGTGCCCAGGAGCAGAATGAAACAGCACGCTTTGTGAACAAACAATATTAAAAGCTTTTGGACTCCCAGTTTATTAGTTTTGCACTTTGTATACAGATTTGTATTTTTGTCGGTGACCTCATTGAATAGATTTTCCTAATCTTCCTGTTACTGTAACAACCCTTCAAGAAATGTGGGAGACAGCTGTCACCAACAGAAAGACACAGACGGCAACAAATTCATTGTCAGTTCTAATCCTTTCCTTACTGCCTCAGCAGGGACACAAGAGCAATAAAATCCTGGCAGAGCCTCTAACCCTGCTAACTCTAGCAAAGAAAAAACAAACTTTAAGCCAACGAAGATGATTTAAGATTGGTTGATATGTGTTTCTGTCTTTTGACCTATCAAAAACATAGTTTGCATTTCTCTTTAGGTTTGTGTTCTTCAAAACAATGAATGAAAGTATGAAATACAATGCAAATTGCCCACCATGCTCTTTATCACTCTTCGCAGGGTACCTTCAGGGATGTACTCTGTGATAAAGTTCAATCTCTTGTCCTTATAAAGTACTCCGATAAACTTCAGCACATTTGGATGTTCCAAGCAGCGCATTACCTTCACCTGCCGAACATATCAAAGTTACAAACACAGTTACCCACATACCAGTTTGTTTGGCTCATGGCAGAGTCCTTAGTGGTTTCCATCTGTGCATGAGTAATTATTATATACAAATGTGAAAATATTTACAGTCGCCATATTATCTATTCAAATATAATACAGTTGATTTACATAGGAGCAGAGAATGTTTACTTGTGAATAAAGTAAAGCTGTGTTCAGTTAAAGAAGAAATTCCACTTTAAAAAAAATAATTACAAATGAATACTTCTTCATAAAAGAAAACATGTGCATTTAGTATTTCTTTGCATTGGAGCTAATAAAGCATTGCAGCCACTATCAGTGGATCACAGGTGCAATGCTCTGGCTCCTGTAGACTCCTCCATCTACTCATGTCTGTCATGAAACATGATCAGAAAGGTAAAAACTTAACCTTTAACCCCTTCGTGACGGGAGACGTACAGTGTACGTCCTGTCACTTTGTGCCTATATGACTGGCCACGTACACTGTACGTGACGAGTTATATCAGGCTTTGTAATGCCGGTATTTGCTGATTCTCAGCATTTAACAGTCATTCATTAATGTCTCAGTATTGAGGCATTAATTAATGAAATAATTAAGCTTTTTGTAAAAGCTTCTTCCTTTCAGTAATGAAAGAATTAAGCCGTTACATGCAAATAGAGGACCGCAATTTGCGATCCCGTATTTGACAGCTCAAAATAGCAGAGAGGCAGCAGTGACTCACCTCACCTCTCTGCTATTTGTTTTGACAGCTCGAGAGCCATGTTTAGATACATTTCACTCAAAAGATACAATGCATCTTTTGAGTGAAATGTATCAGTTCTAGGCTTGATCAAAGAGCTTTTAGGCCCCGTTCACATATAGCGACATACCTTTTGCAGCGGATCCGCACGGCCGGGATATAGTCTGTATAAGGCAATGCATGTTTTTTCCCCTATACATGTAGGTGACCATAGCTTTACTTTATTCACTAAGCTATGTGAACAACATTCACTTAAAGTACATATATACTTTAGTAAATCAACTACATAAAATCAGGAATATAAATATAAATACCCCAAACCTCTCCAGGACATGTACTTTAAAGATACTAAACTGAAGGTGCCCATACACTCTTCGATCTTCGTTCGTAAATCTTCCACGAATGGTCTTTCGAACGATAATCGAACAGTTGATGGAACAGTTTATGGAACACCAACGATTTTTCTGAAGGGTCAGGCTGGAAAACTTTTTTTCAATTGAATGAAAATCGATGGATTAGTGGCATTTTCGTAAGAAAATTGCAGCGAGAACATGGCACATGGGCTAACCAAAATCCGTTCTGTCGCACATAAAAATTCGGTGAGTTGGTATTGACAACAAACGATTATCGATAGGGATGCAGATACCAGTTTTTCGATATCGAGTACCAACTTTTTTCCCGGTATTCGCCCCAATACTGAGTACCAATACTGGTGCTGTGTGCCCAGATTACCAGCAAGTCAGACGGTGGATCATGAGCCATTGCCTGGCTTCCTGATTGCCCGGCTTCCCTTGCTGAGGCTGCCTGGCTTCCTGACCAATCAGGAAGCTGGGCGGTTGGTCGTGAGGTGCCTGGCTGCTCCATGCTCCTTGGGCCCTGCCAGTCAGAGGGAGATCTCCCTCTGAATAGAAGTTCCGGTATTGGAGGTAAGTATCGGAGCATTTGGGCGAGATACTAGTATTGATGCATCCCTAAATATCGAAATCAACAATGATCTGTGCTTGATTGGATATTTGAGCTAGAATCGAACAAGGGTTCTTGGCAGCAACGAAAATTTCAGATTGAAAATCTATAGGTGTATGGCCAGCTTTATGTCTGGGAACACATTTCAAGTGCTGCTTTTAACAACTAGATAGTAAAATATAGCCTTTTACTATCTAGTGACCATGATCTTTTCTCTGGTAGTTAGTTCAGGAAGAAAGACTATGGTGGATGTTGTGATTACAGGCAGAAGAGAGCTGCCATTGCTAATTTTTTAAAGCTTTGCTCCTCCAGGCCACATCTGGCTCTTCTCAGCTGTAAATATTTATCTTACTTTCACTCCCCCACTGTTCAGCCGCTGGGACGAAGAGAACGGGGGCAGGCGGAGCAAGTGACTCACTCACCTTCCGCTTCTAAAGCAGCTCTGGTACTTGTTTGGTCACTTAGGCACTCAGCGCAGTCGCATGGGGAGGAAGAGTCCTCAGCCCCATACAAGCTCCATGTTGCTTTTCTCTTTGCTCCCAGTACCAGTAACAGTGGACAGCAAAATAATAAGGAAGGTGAAAATTAGCACTTAGGGAGGCTAGCTTTTAAGTGAACCAGTTTTTTGTCTTATAGCGATGGAAAAAACCCAAAGAAAGGCTAAAAGAGAACACTTCTTAAAAAGCCAGTCATGGTAGCTCCCACATTTCTGTTTAGATAGATTCCTTTTAAGCATTCCTCACACAATCATTTGTCCAAAGTGATGGGGAATACAATATTTAGCTGTTCTTTAAATAGCTGAACACGTATACACATGCAAACAAAACACACACAAACAATATAAGGATATGCTTAACAATATCTATTTAGGTACTGTTCGTGGACAACCCTCAATAGCTATGATTAAAGCCATATGTTCAGGCTAAAACACCTCAGCACTTTACTGTTTCTATGCCAAGGTGAAACAAAGAACTAGTTAGGTGGATTCCTGTTCCTGTGCTGGTGATTGCTAATTGACAGTGGACAAGGGTTGGCGGGAACCCCCACTGAGCACCAAGGTCCCTAAGGCTTACTTTGGACATAAGAAGGTAGAGAAAGTTTGGGCAGCTCAGAATATCTCAGAACATTAAAAGTCTTTCAGGCTTCTTTGTAACAGTACAGAAACAGCAACAAGTTAAAAACAGGTACACTGCACATGTCAGCATTCAATATAGCTTTATTGTTCTTACATTCCATTAGGTTCAGCTTCTACTCTCAGTGTTCAATTCACTCGAAACAATAAAGTTATATTGAAAATTGACTTTGCGGCCTGTACCTGTTGCTTTGAATTAGGAAGTGGACGAGCCCTGTTACAGGCGTAGAACCCAGGGCTGGTTGCCCGAGTAGGACCTGGAGCGATGCTTCTTTTGAACTACTTTGCTACCTGAGCAATTTTTTTAAAATTGGAATTTTTTGACTAGAAAAATTGCTTAAATCCCCAAACAATTATATATTTTCTGAATGCAGAGGCCCTGTAGAATAATAAAAAAATACTAGATGCAATTTTTTATGTATTTGTGCAAATGCTTATCAAATTGATATTTTTAGGAAAAAAATCACTTAAAGATATTTTAGTGCAAACAAGCACAATATGATACCCAATTTTTTGTAAAATATAAAAGATGAGGCTTCGTCAGGTAAATAGATGCCAAACCTTAAAATTGCTTCTGACAGCGAAATTATATAAAATAACTGTACCCCAAATTGCCCGTAGGTGACACTTTAAAAGCCTTTACTGCTCATCAATTTAGAGTTAACAGTGAGTGATGGCTCTATTGCTATCATTCAGACGCTCGCTGCGATATGTAATGTGTAGTACAATTGGTGGAGGGCTTTTGTGTTTTTTTGTCACTTTAATGTTTTAAAACTTTTTTTTATACACTTAAATTTATAGCTATCACATAGGAAGCTGACAAGCCCCCTTTGTGATAGCACAGGGGATGTGACAGGTCCCTTTTTATGGAGATAGCAGGGGTTTATTAGACCCCTATTGTCACCTATGGACTCCACAGAAGCACAGATCATTCTTTATCAGCTTCTTCTATGGCCACAGCACTGGAGAAATGACAGGCTGAAACCAGAGGTGATGAGATCCTCAGTGATCTGTGCTGATCTCTATCCGGTTCACCTGGTGACACCCACTGTGCTGGTCCTAGGCTTGCACATGGGACAGTGGAGCATAGGAAAGCCAACAGCAACGATGAACGCTCACTCTTCAGCAGCATACAAGTTATTGGCGCTTTCTCCAAAGCCGCCAAATCACTTCCATGTAAAAGCCAGGTGCCAGTGTCCAAATCCTCCTGTGAGAGTATAACCCAATTGTCACTGAATCCAGCGTCCCTCAATCAACTCCAAAAAATGTATTTTTTGGTAAGTACAAAAATCAAATTTTATTATTTGGTGCAGCACAACACTGAGAGAACACTCACCTCTTTTAAAAAGGTTCGCTGAGTTTCTTCATCAAACCGAATTAACTCTTTCATCACCATAATCTCACCAGTCACACGATGAGTAACCTGCAACAAGAGCAATTGGTGCCCATAATCAAGTCTTGCTTATAGCTCCTGGGTATATTTTTTAAACACAAACATTAAAAGTTCTACTGTTTCTATGCAAACTCGAGATGGTAATAGCCTCTGGCAACAATTGTTAGTTCATACAGATGTTATTTTGTTTCCTATTTTTGTAATATTTTAAATAGATTACTGACGCATCCAAAAAGTTCTATCACTTCTCCCATGGAACCAAATTCTAAGGCAGGACTTGGACCTGCTTTCCAGGACAACTTATGTGGAAACAAGTGAAATCTGTGGGGTGTAGTAAATGGGCGTAATTGCTTTAAACATCGCTTAAATATCCCAGTGGTTCGTGGTTTAACATACATATCTGGATTTGTTATGCATTTCTTTAGAATTTGTCAATAGAAAATTGGTATTAAGTAATGACTCACCAGGTCATTATTTCATGTTGGAAACATATCAGATGACATAGTAGTATAGTGTTATGCAGACCTCTAAACTAAGGTTTATTGCTAGTGCATCTGACGATGTGTAGTTTGTGCCCAATCTGACTTCAAATAGGAACAGTAATTGCGAGCCAGATCTTCTCGTCCAACATCAGTTTCTTACCTCCCAAAAGCTGTTGGATTCTCACAAATTTCCAGACACACTACGAAATTATGGAATATAAATATGTAATATGTCTAGGAGATTGGAGGCAGTTATTGTCAGGGAAGGAGTGGGGGGCAACTCCATAGTAATACCCATGGTTTAGGAATGGGATGTCCAGCAAGCTGAAATAGGTGTGGTGGTTAAGTGTCCACAAAGTTATGGCCATATAATATTACTTTTAAGAGATTAAATTTTAAGAACCTTTACCAAAGATGTAATTATCCCATGTTGCATGGGATACTCAAAACATAATTGACATTAACTGTAATGTTTAAATGCATACAAGGCGCAGGCCAGAGGACACTCACTTTAATTGCTTGACCAAAGAAGCCCCTCCCTAGGACCTCTCCAGGAATGAGATCTGAAGGCCTGAATATACGGTGTGCACCTGCAACACCACGCACAGATTCAGAACGGCACATGTCTCTTCGTGAACACGATGGGGATCCCACACAACTAGATCCCGGAGATCTGTCTGTACTGCAGCTGCGCCTTTATTATAGAAAAAAGGAGAAAAAGCATGAGGCTTTTACGCCCAGTGATCAGACAGCTTTACAGGAACAACATTCTTTTATCTATTTTCACTAAATGAATACTTTGAACTGTACACTTTAGGGAATGGGAATACTTTAACTATTGCACAAAATATGGTTAAAATTGTAATGTTTTGTAATTCAACAATATGTTAAGTTCCAAAGCTTATCCGTATATTGGGCTTCATCAGTTCTTATAGGATTGTTTAAATTGGGAACTAGAAACAATGTTGTGAAGTCAAATCTTGGCTCATTTTTGTTTAATGATCTGACTTATAGCAGGTCACACTAGGTCAAATGAACACTGTAATATTTTTGGACTGTTATATATCCTAATCATGCAATTCGTTATATACTCTGAGATAGAATCTCATTAATAATTTGGTGGCAAGTACTCTTTATGTTAAGTTCAAGTGTCACCGCAGGACATCTTAGCTGAGGTAAAAAAAAAAAAAAAACAACCAGAATCCCTTCAGTTATTCTACAAAGGTCTTGCAAAGTAAAATAGCATATTGTAACTGTTTTGGGGATTTTTTAAAAATAAGGATGGAAGATGACAGCACAAGTTGAGTATTTGCCTGTGCTTTTTAGACATCCATCAGCCTTTATAGCACTTAGACAAATGTTGCACACTGGGAATGGAACAAAGCTGTGACTAGAGATACCACAACCCCAACAACTAATTTGGTGAGTCTGAGGTCACCTCTTGCTTGCTGGATATTTCAGGGGGGTCACAGTCAACTGCAACATCTCCGACCCCAAAACAATAGGTACTGGATCTGTGTTATTTTTATATGCATACAGATTTTGTATGTTTAAAGGAGAACTATGAGATGAGTGCTTTCCACTCATCTCATAGTTCTAAGCCGACCTGTGACAATGAGACTGTCACAGGTCGGCTCAGTAGAACGGGAGGTGAGGGAACACATACCGGATTCCCTCACCTCTCGATCCTGTCACTGCTCTCTGCCGTGACAGGGGGAGGGGCTGCATTCCCCCCTCACCGATCCGATCTGCCAGCGCTGACTGGCGGAACGGACGGGGGAGGGGGCGGGTACAGCTGGCTCTGCCTCTAGATAGGCAGAGCCAGCTGTCACTCACGCAGCTGGGCGGATCCCGTCAAAAGAAAGAGTCGTGATCCGTCCCGGCTGCGGCGTCTCAGTATACCGCGAGCTGTAGCTCGCGGTATACTGAGCTTAGGGTAACGGGAGGATGCTAGTTTGTGTCCTCCCGTTACCCTTTGGAGAACTATGGGGAAAAACACTGACCCCATAGTTCTCCTTTAATTTGTCTCAATGTCCTCTCTACTGGAACCCCCTCCCAACCCCAAGCATTATAGCAGCTACATGGCCTTCTATAGCTATAGGTTTGCCACTGGTCAGACATGCTGCAAACCGATCAGCGGTTTGTGATCGCTCAGTTCTCAAGCATTAGAGCTGGTGTGTGACAGATGCAATGTCATAGGCCGGCTCAAACTATTTTTAAGAGTACATTTTACTCTCCTAATAGTTCTCCTTTAAAACTTTTAGATTTACCAATATTAGAATGGCATGAAAATAGGACTGCAACTAATGATTATTTTCATAATCGATTAGTTAACCGATAATTTTTTTGATTAATCGGATAAAAAAAATTAAATATATACCATCCTTAATTTCAACTAAAATACACAAATGCAGAGTAACAAACATAAAGTTTACTTCAGAATAAAACTGCATGCACACATTTTTGCAATCGCACTGCACTGAAACGCTCACCATTGCGGTACTGTGCTTCCAGTGTTGGCACATTTGGGGTGCCATTGAAATAAATGGCACTGCAACACACCTTCCACAGCAGAATTTGTCAGGCTGAAACTGAAAATGACTTTTTTCCTACCGTTCATAATTGTATTGTAAGCACATGGCGCCTGAATAGCTTCAGCCAGGGCATGGCAGCTGCCAGTGGCAAGATTCCGCAGACGGCAGCTGAATGTAAATACAGCAGGTAGTGGGCTGGTGCAATAGGTAAATACAGCAGGTAATGGGCTGGTGCAACCTGCCCACTGCTTGCTGTGCCCTCCTCCCAGCGTGAAGGAGAGAGGTAGGGGATCCAACCAACTAATCGATAATGAGACTATTTGATAACTATTCTCATTATCGACTATTCAATTAGTTGGTTGCCGCCCTACATGAAAACCTACATGACGGAATTTAACTTAATTGATTTAATTAGAGATGCACCTACACCGATACCAGGAGACCCCGCACACAGCCCTGGGGAGACCTTGCAGCCTCGGTGAGACCTCACACAGCCCTGGTCACACGCCACATGCAGCCCTGGTCAGACCCTGCACAACCTCCTGAGACCCCTGGTGAGCAACGCAGAATATCTGGCTTCATATTATTCTGCATTGATGTGTAATGTATTGCTGGGATTTGCAAAACTACCTGGAGTCGCAAAACTACCTGGGTCGCAGCGGTAGCATCTGCGACCAGGCCCTCGCACTCCACCACTGTCCTAAAACCATTAGTCTGTATTGTTTTAGAAAAACTGTCACATGATACTAAAAAAAAGTATCTGTAATTGGTATAGGGGAGTACTTGAGGAAAAGTATCGATACTCATACTTGGTCTTGAAAAATGGTACTGGTGTGTATATTCCCTTGCTGAAATATTTTAAATATTTAATCATAATAAGGACATTTGCACAACACTGTGTGCCATGGGAGAGAGTGTCTTACGTGACTGGTCTTTGACGCCTGACTCCAGACTCTATACATGGAGTAGATATCGCACTGTTCTCGTGAGGGTCATGCTCAATGGTCAGCTGCAAGAGACGACTGGTCTCCTGTAATAAGACATCAATCTGGAGCAAAAAGAAACATAAAAAGATCACCAGTATAGCAGAAGAGCAAGACAGATGAGACTCACAAAAGTAAAAGGTAAAAAGATAAAAGCAAACCTCATCGAGTGGAACACTGCGAATAGGGGTGCCATTGATCTCCAGTATTCGGTCCCCAACATGAATTGCGCCTTGAATGTCAGGACTAAGGCAGTCATTGTCTACCCTGAAAAAAGCAACATATTGTTGATACATTCATTATATGATCGAATATACAATGTGAATAAATTAGACTATGCATGCAATGTTTGTGGTGGTTGTGATCATCTTTGTAGTGACCACATCTTGACTACACTTTGAACATAAACTATATTACCAAAAGTACGGGGCCTGTATTTACACGCACATGAACTTTAATGGCATCCCAGTCTTAGTCCATAGGGTTCAATATTGAGTTGGCCCACCCTTTGCAGCTATAACAGCTTCAACTCTTCTGGGAAGGCATCCACGAGGTTTAGGAGTGTGTCTATGGGAATGTTTGACCATTCCTTAAGAAGCGCATTTGTGAGGTCAGATACTGATGTTGGACGAGAAGGCCTGACTCGCAATCTCCGCTGTAATTTATCCCATAGGTGTTTAGATAGGCAGAGCCAGCTGTCAATCACGCAGCTGGGCAGATCCCCGCACAATTGTCGGGATCCGCTTCAGCTGCGGCGTCTCAGTATACCGCGAGCTACAGCTCACGGTATACTGAGCTTAGGGTGACGGCAGGACGCTAGTTTGTGTCCTCCCGTTACCCTAAGGAAAACTATGGGGAAAAGACTTAACCCCATAGTTCTCCTTTAAGCCTTCCCTTCACTAGAACTAAGGGGCCAAGCCCAAACCCTGAAAAACAACCCCACACCATAATCCCCCCTCCACTAAACTTTACACTTGGCACAATGCAGTCAGGCAAGTACCGTTTTCCTGGCAACCGCCAAACCCAGACACGTCCATCGGATTGCCAGACAGAGAAGCGTGATTCGTCACTCCAAAGAACACGTCTCCACTTCTCTAGAGTCCAGTGCCGGCGTGCTTTACACCACTGCATCCGACGCTTTGCATTGCACTTGGTGATGTAAGACTTGGATGCAGCTGCTCGGCCATGGAAACCCATTCCATGTAGCCCTCTACGCAGTGTTGTTGTGCCAATCTGAAGGCCACACGAAGTTTGGAGGTCTGTAGCTTTTGTCTCTGCAGACAGTTGGTGATTTCTGCGAGCTGTGCACTTGAGCATGAGCTGACTCCGCTCTGTCATTTTACGTGGCCTACCACTTCGTGGCTGAGTTGTTGTTGTTCCCAGTTGCTTCCATTTTGTTATAATACCATTAACAGTTGACCGCGGAATATTTAGTAGCAAGGAATTTCACGGAACACCTGAATCCAATGATTTGGAGGAGTGTCCCAATACTTTTGGTAATATAGTGTTTATAACCAATCAAATATTTGTTACTGAATACAGAGTACCTTAGTAATGTTAGCTCCTTTTTTGAGGGCTCGATACGTAAATGCAGCTATGCTTAGACTGACCCACTGGAGAATCAGAAGAACCTCCAGTTGGTCCCTAGCTCAGACACTGGCTCCCTGGTTCCCACAGTTGTGTGATCCACAAGCGTGGACCGATTTAGACTCTGAAAAGCTGGCACGGTGCAGTTTCTCTATGCAGTACCACCTTCATGTTTCCAGCATCAGCCTCAGGCAGAAAGCAAGCACACTACTTTTTCACTGCCCACA